GCCTCTCTCCCCCATCTCTCTCTCCCCCATCTCTCTCTCCCCCATCTCTCTCTCCCCCATCTCTCTCTCTGCCTCTCTCTCTCTGCTTCTCTCTCTCTGCCTCTCTCTCTCTGCTTCTCTCTCTCTGCCTCTCTCTCTGTCTCTCTCTGCCTCTCTCTGTCTCTCTCTGCCTCTCTCTGTCTCTCTCTGTCTCTCTCTGCCGCTCTCTCTCTCTCTCTCCCGCTCTCTCTTTTACATTTTCTATCATTTCTATATCTTCTCTGTATACTCTCTATATCGCCTCTCTCTATCCTGTCTCTACGATCTCCTTATAGCTATACCCCTCTCTCTATACTCCTCTCTATACCCCTCTCTCTATACCCCTCTCTATCTATATCATCTATCAATCCTCTTTATATCCTCTCTATATCTCTATAGCCTCTCCTCTCTATCATCTATATCTACATTATCTATATCCCCTCTCCCTCTCTATCCTCTATCTCTCCCTCTCTATCCTCTATCTCTCCCTCTCTATCCTCTATCTCTCCCTCTCCCTCGCTCTCTATCTCTCCCTCGCTCTCTATCTCTCCCTCGCTCTCTATCTCTCCCTCGCTCTCTATCTCTCCCTCGCTCTCTATCTCTCCCTCGCTCTCTATGCCCCTCGCTTTCTATCCCCCTCGCTTTCTATCCCCCTCGCTTTCTATCCCCCTCGCTCTCTATCCCCCTCGCTCTCTCTATAGGAATCCACTTTATTGACCGAGTCTGTCCAGGCAGACAAGGAACTTCAATTTAAAGTTTGAAAGTTTGAAATGGACCCTTGTGTACTTTGCAGAGACCAAAAAGAAATATATAGCGCAAATAACTTCATCTTTGAAACTTTGTTTACTAAAGAGAACATCTAAATACAACCTTCCAATATAAATCTTTACATTTCCATTAAAATAAATCTTTACATTTCCTTCTACATAGGTGCTGTGATTTGCCTTTGCTATTAGAGTTGGGGCTCATCCACATGGGCGCTCAAATTCATACTTTGTGCACACCTGCGCAGGGACCTGCTACCGGGAGGGACAGGTGCTGCGTATAATTGCGTGCAATCATATATACCTCCCTATGGGAGGACGTGGCTGTACATAGTTACGCACCGACCTGAACCTGCACATGCGTACAGATCCAGGTGCCCGCACTAGGATGCATGCTCATGGGAATTAGCCCTAAAAGCGTGTGTATGTGTGTCTGCAATGTGCATTTAATTTGGACTTGTATGGGGGAGTGAAAGCAAAGCACAAACCGGTCTCAAACTGATGCCCCTGTACTGGGGCGATAGACACATGGTGATAAATGTGTACACTGTCACATACGCTGCAATAGCCAAACCGACAGTTCTGCAGCATACTCCTTACCATCCTGTCTTGAATGTAACTGTAATGTATTCCTTGTATTGTAAAGTGGTGCGCAAACTGTTGGCGCTATATAAATCCTGTATATTCTTATCCTCCATATGTGTTGCTCGATCAAGTCTATGACACTGCTATCACGCCAGTCAAGGATTAAACACATTGCCTTTCCTCTTCTCTGATCAGCTTGTACGGAGATCGCCTGGACATGGCATTCTGGAGTGAACGGATTGGAAGCCAGAACTTTTGTCCCGGCTGCTAAGGGCAGCGAGTGTCTTCAAGTCGTCCAGAACTCGTATTTATTATTTTATTTTTTTAGCCTGCTTTTTCACACCTGCACCAATGCAATTCAAACTATTCCCCTTCGCCCTCATCATCCTGAACTGTGTGGATTACAGCCAATGCCAAGCAAACCGCTGGAGACGGAGCAAGAGAGGTCAGTGGCGGCTGGGGAATGATTAAAGGGGGCTGGAGACCATCCACTGAGCACACGTGTCTTGTGCAAACATCCATATGTTATCTGATCCATAGTGCTGGGTATTAGATGCTGCTGTTGTCATAGAGCCCCATGTCTGCGTCCCGAGCCAGTTTCTCTTTAACTGCATTTTTCCACTAGAACAATAGGTGGTGTAGTACTATATAAGAACAGTCATAGGGCCAGGGCTACTTGTATAATAAACCTATGGGGGAAATCCTAACAGACTTGTAGCACAGTATCATGCTTTCCATCACTTAAGTGACACTTTGTAAAAGCTCATTTAAAACGTAGCAGGCCAGATAAACTATTGTCAGTGCGCACAATATTTTGGGCACGGAAACCTGCTTTTATGGATGCAAGACCGTGACTTATACGCATCAAATAAAATATATACACAGGGACATAATCATTTATTTGACATGTGATGTCCCATAATAAGGTGCCACACGCGACTATTCATTTATCAATCACTGCTAATCTTAGTTTATTTGGCCCTAATGTATTGATAGCCAAGCCTGTGCTATGGGGATCTGGCTGCATATAGGTAACCCATTTGTCTGAAATATTTTTATGGGACAAACCGCAACATGGCAAAAGTGTAAGTCCAGTTATATATTGGGGGACGAATTAAAACATTTGTTGGGTTGTTACTGCTATCTAGGCAGTACAATAGAGTAGTATACAAAACAATTGTATTCTATGTGCCCTTTCGTTGAGCCTACATTGATCTATGCAGATCAACACAGCTCAATGGACATGGTGTGAATGAGCCCTAACTGTCTCAGCAACAGGGACGCAGATATGAATGGGAAAAGCCTATCCATACTCTACTAATAAGAAAATCATTTCATTTCTGTCTGTGTTGCTGTTAGAGATTTCCCTCACTTTGTGTGGGTAAAACAATTGAAATCACTCTAACAAGTCTTGGATAGCAGTAAAAATCTGACGGGGGTTCTAATCCTTCCCTGCTCCACCCAAAATAAAGAAAAATAAAAAGGTTTTGGTTGGAGGCAGTTTAAGGTAATGACACAAGTTCATGTGTTCATAGAAGATTGATTCACGCTGGCTTACTGCTCAGTCTGTGTATGTGTGTGCAAAGAGAAGATCAACCATGACCTTTCAAGAGAAAAAAGAACTAGCTGGGAAAGGTGTGTTTACCCACATCCAGGGGTAGATTGGAAAAGTGTGCTGGAAGATTGGGGGCAGTAGATTGGTAATTTGGGTGGGTGGTGAGATTGGGGGGAAGTGCAGCCTGAGCAGAGTAGAGTAGGCTGGAGCCTGGGGAGAGTAGAGTAGGCTGGAGCCTGGGGAGAGTAGAGTAGGCTGGAGCCTGGGGAGAGTAGAGTAGGCTGGAGCCTGGGGAGAGTAGAGTAGGCTGGAGCCTGGGGAGAGTAGAGTAGGCTGGAGCCTGGGGAGAGTAGAGTAGGCTGGAGCCTGGGGAGAGTAGAGTAGGCTGGAGACTGGGAAGTGTATAGTAGGCTGGATGTTGGAGAGTGGGAAGAGTAGAGTAGGCTGGATGCTGGTGACTGGGAAGAGTAGAGAGTAGGCTAGATGCTGGAGACTGGGAAGAGTAGAGAGTAGGCTGGGTTTTTTTTTTTTTTTTTTTTTTTTTTTATATATAATACAATATGATTTTGTTTTGCCAATGTTTCATTTATGGAAATTGGGGAGATAGTATTGTTACGTATCCCTGAGGACAGGGGTTGTAAAAAGGCCTTTCTTAGTAGGCAAGCTGTTCTTTTGGGGTTCCCATTTTCCACATATAATGTACTGCATGGTTGAATATGAGGGAAAAAAATCCTACAATGGGGATTTCATCTAATGCAGTGCATATACGGGCATCTAATTCTAATTGTGTGTCTTATCTGTCTAATTCGCACTAGATTAGTCAGTTCTGGTTGGTTTCTATGAGCAGTGTCTTTAACTGGAAATTTCTGATTGATCCTCTAGTGTATGTAGAGGTCAGCATGGTACTGGCATTAATAATCTGTGCTGTGTACAAATTATTTATCATGAACCTCGTGTTTGCAAAGGGGTTTTAATGCCAGCATCACACACATATATTTAATAATTTTCATATAATTTATATAAATAAAAAATATTTTGAACAAAATATATAATAAAACTTATATACATTTTGTCAGGGAATACACTTTTGTATGCAACATTTATTACCAATTTATGTTGCCTTTTTTCCATTATGCTTGTACAAGTTTTTGAAGTAGACATTGTACCATATTGGAAATGTAAAAAAGTTTCCTTTTTGCTACCCTTAAACTTTACCTTGGCTGGAAAACTGTGAAAAGAAAGTCACTTTTGGTTTGTTGCCAGATTTAGTCTATAAATTTAGATGGTTGCATAGCAGGAACAATAAAATGAGTGGTTACAGAGAGCTCTGCGAGCGGGTGGATGTATAGGATGCGCTCCGAGCGGGTGGATACGTAGGACGTGCTGCCAGCAAAGGTGGTAGCGGCTGATTTTAGTAATGGAACAGGATATTCTCCGTTAGATTCTAACTCCAAACACATCCTAATGAGGGTAAAGGATAATGTAGCTGGTATTCCATGGATGCTGCTATTTCCAAGGTGTTTTTCTTTCTTCTGTTTGGAAATCTGTTACCAATTTGGACCTTGGCAGATTCTGGTTGACTTTTGTTACGGCATTTATTGCAGGATATTGGATAGTTTTTAGCTGTGTAAATTTTAGCCTGCTAACTGCATGAGCTTTCTTAAAGGGCCAGTCCTCTCAAGTGATAGCAGGTTTGAGTAGATTCTGGAGACACTCTGGCTGGTTTGCCCACCTGTGTCTCCATTTGGCATTCCACAGCAGGGGATGTTCCAGGAGCTGGTGTGTCTGGTGGATTTCATTACTGAGGACCTTGAGAGGTAAAATAAGGCAATGGGTGATTTACCTCTGCCCAGTCTCTTGTCAACAAAGAAATATCAGATTTGGGTGGACCCATTGTAAAAGATGGTTGGCCATCCCTCCTTTCATGGGTCACTGGGGCAAGCTGCAACCTCTACTTCCTCAACAGCTGGAGATTCATTGTGGGTTCTTTCTTGCTATCAAGCAAGGCTGTTCCTATAAATAAGTTTTTGCTGCTGATAAAACTTTGGCTGATGCAAACGTTAGCAGAGAGCGGCACACCTTGGCACTGAATGTTTTTGGCCAATTATCTTGTATACGCTGAGCTGCTGACAGCAAATCTAATCTCAGATTTATCATCCATTAGTGAAGGTTCTCCCAAGGAATCCATATAGCCATGTGTAGGTTTTCACCGCATCAAACTACTCTACGTCTTTTCTTACTCTAATAAAGAATACCTGATGTTTATGAACAACTGTATGCACAGAACATTTATACTGAACTTGCGTAGAGAGGGCTGATATTAACTATTTGGTGCCTTTGTAGAGTAGTGACATACAGGTGCTAGGAAGGACTGTATGAACTAAACACTTAAGGGGGGTGGAAGGGTTGAAAATCACATAGATGGCTGATTCCCAGGTGTCAATGCTGCCCAGGGACTGTATGTGTTCAGCACTGTGTGTGTACATTTTTTTTTATATCTGTTTCTACAGGTGTTGCAAGCATATATATCTTAGAGCTCAGAGGTGTGCATGTTGATGTTGAGTTTATTATAATATAAATTATTATTTATTATATTATATAAATTGTTTTATTTTTATTTTGGTGTTTTTCTGCACAGTACATAGACCGTGTGTTTTTAAATGTTGACGTTTGCTCTCCAAAATGTTTACATGACTGCTGACATAAACAACATCCTTCTGAGACTTTCTGCATTTTACAACGGTCTAGCCTCGGTTTTCGAGACCTTTTTATTGGGTGGGTTTTAGTCCATTGATTGTACGTTACAATAAAATAGAAGCGAGAGAGCTTTTCAGGGCCAGGAGAGTTAATATTCCTGAGCCCCACCTCCAGATTTCACAGCCAATAACCATAAAGTTATCTGTGTGAAGTAACAAAGGAGAACAAATTGAAGAATTCCCGAACAAAGCAAGGTATGTGTTCTGTA